AGGAAGAGTCAATAAAAACTACTATCTAAAATATTAGATTGCTGCATAAGTTCTGTCCGCTAGAGTACGTCTTCTACAAATACGACTTTCGTATACAGTTTATACTTACATCCAACTATGTATTTCCCATCATTATTTATAACTTTTTCCCATCTCTGTGGAAGTTGCATTATGTGTCAGAAAGTATTCCGACTCGGAGTACGCATAAAATTAATTAAACGTGTCTACGTTTTTACAATATTGCATTTTACACAAAGACTATTTCCGCGTTGTCTGAGCGTCGTTCGCAAAAAGTACGCGTTCAACAGTCTCGTGAAGTGTGAGGACGCGTCGTCCTGCCGATCCCTGTCCACCTCTACGCGAACAGGCCCAGAGAAAGACCCAAAGGGGCGGAGTCACCCCCACCGAGCGCGCTGGGCCTGGCTTCAAGATGCTCGCTTCACCGTCTTCGGGACGGATTTTCTCACATATGCCTCTTTTATAAAAATCTTGGGATTTACCAATAAAAAAAACTGTCTATTGCACTTTTTACGTCCTCGAAAGTTTTTCCATTCAAATTATTTTGTAGTGCCTGGAAAAGATGAAAATCTGTTGGTGCCATATCTGGGGAATATGGTGGGTGTGGAATAAGTTTCCATTTCAAGTTCGAAATTTTTTGTTGTGTTGCCGTCGCCACGTGTGGTCTTGCATTGTCGTGCAGATGCAGGACGCCCTTTCGATTAACAAGTGATGGTCTCTTAATTTGCAGTTGCTGTTGTACTCTTTCTACTCGTTGCAGCCTCTTTTAGGCTCTGGAATAACTATTTACATTGACGGATTCGTCGAAGCGATAACACGAACAGAGTGTTTATATGTATAATAGAAACGAAAAAGCAGACAGAACTTATGCAGCAACCTAATAACTTGTTACTTATTGGTTGTATCAGAAAACGTTTTAAATGAATTATGTTGCATTTTAAAGGACTCACCGGATGGGTGCAATTTTATTTTTCTATATTTTATATTTTTGGAGATATCAACTCTCTGGTCACCTTGAGTTGACCTTAAACCTCAAAATCAAAATGTTGAGTGTAATTGTTTCACTTACTTTTGATGTTTTTATTCAGAGTAGGTGTTCAAGGTTTTCGCCGTTTACTTCTTCACATTTCTCAAAACGATGTAATGATTTTCTGAGTGTGTCCGACGTAATTTCCCCACAGGCTCTTTCAATACGCTGTCACATATCTTCTGCAATAGTTGGTGCGTTTTGATAAACGATAGCTTTTAATGTCACCCACAAGAAGAAATTTAATAGGTTTTGTAAGGAAAAAGAATGACCAGGTGCGTATCTGAAGTTAAAACTTTATTAGTGTGGGTTCGCTTGGTTAGCCGTTACTCGGTGACTGTCTAAGCGAGACTGCCTTTCCGGCTAGGAGAGCCCCTTTGTCCTGCCGTTCCCAAAAAGGCGTCACCAAGGGCCTCGAGGGTTGGTCGCCGATGTTCGTGGCGGCTCAGTCCTCGGGCCCGATATCGCCTGCTTCTATTACAATGAACATCCGGGCTGGCCGCCCGAATCCCCGTCTCAACGGCCCCCTCGATTTCTCTTACAGTTTAGATTCAGGAAGAAGTAAATGCAAAGAAGTTATACTCTTGATAAAAATATTTAGTGTTTCACGTGTATGCCTTTTATTCCTCACTTTTCTCGTTGCATTGCAGTGAAATTTTTAACATTTACAACATTATAAATATTATGAATAAAATTCCTCGAATATATAACATTTTTAAACTTCTATTCTAGGCAATTCTTCAATAGTTTAGTAGAGATTGAATACTTATTATAAGATACATTTCTGCACTTTTGTTTAAAATGAAATGAAAAGTTTGAAATCCAGTTAATTTATAATAAATTAGCATATTCCAACTGTGTTATACAAAGATTCCTTCTTTTTCATTATTATGAGATTTTCATATTTTAGCAATTACTGTTTTATTAATCGAACCTGTACCCTTTAATTATAAACTGAATTAAGTCCAAGAATTGGAACGATCGACACTGCACGCAACAAAAGGTGATACTTTCTATTCTTCAGATTGCGTGCTTCAATCTGTCGTCGATTCAAGTCAAATATCAGATTTTCCACTTGGCTTTGATTTGTTATGCACAAATGTCAGGTCATTTTTGAAGTAGCAGTGGCACGTAATTGATGAAATTAATTGCCAGTCTGTAGACCCGGTACATTAGCGACCATGTTGCCATACGTCATAGCTGTTCGTGTGAATGATTAAACGAATCAATTTTGTGTAATTATTTCTTGAATACCGTTTTTCAAACGGAATATATAATGGCACTGTGTAATCCTTATTCTTACTGAATGAATTGTCGACATTTTACGGAACAAGTTTTTAGATTAGTCTTCGAACAGAAATCATCGGGAAGACATTAGAATTGTGAAAATGGATAATACTCAATATGAGTATTTGCGATTCAACAAGTATTTTCTGTTTATGATCGGCGTATGGCCTTATCAAACTGTATTGCAAAGGATTTTGGTTGGAATTATTTTCATTCCAATTATTTCTGCTCAAACAATTCTTCAGGTATTAATAGACAGTTGGTGTTTTATCATTTATTTTATATCTTGAAGTATTATTTTTGGTATTTAAGATTTTTAATTGCCATTATTCGTGCTATCACTTAATAATTATTTCTTATTCACTTTTTAATCTTTTTTCCTGGTATAATAATATTTATAAAACATTAACGTGACAATCTTTACAAAAGAATTATTCATTTGTGAATGTCATTATAAATACACAAAATAATACTAATGTGTTTTATAATACATATTTCATTTGGAAATTGAAAATTGTAGAATAGTTTAAAGTACATTATCTGATATATTTTAAATGTAATGTGTACAATATGTTACAAATCAGAAGCTATATCGCTGAATAATTGAAAACCTTACAAAATTTACCTATTATTTTGTGTATAGTATTTCATTATTTATACATACAGGGTAGTCCAATAAGAATTAGCACTTGAATATCTCCGTTGTTTTTGGAGATATGAAAAAATTTCATTAACAAAAGTTGTTGCGTATAGAGGGTGGTATAACACAGCAGTAATAATTTTACTGTAGTTGGAGGAGTTTCAGAGATTTCAAGGTCACCTCTACTTTTCTAAGTGAAATTGTATATTTCGTTATGCATCAGTTGATGCAACTTAACATTTTCTGTAAAAAATTATTAAGCTATGTATGTCGAAAAATTATTAGTTAATAATTTTGTTGTTCATAATTCCATACCATACATTCACGGACCACTGTCTCTGATGGCCAATCTGCCGCAATCAATGTGGATTTTGCTGTGCCCAAAAGTGCCCAAAATTATGTACATTAACGTTTTCACCATTCGTAAATGTAGCTTCGTAGGAAAATAGCACCAAATTAAAAAACGAATTATTGTTTTGAATTTTGCGCTGTGCCCATCTGCAAAATTCAATACGATTCGCGAAATCAGTATCACTAATTTGTTGATGTATATTAAGGTGGTACGGATGGAATTTATTGAAACGGAGAACACGGAGAACACTGCTTCTACTAATATTACACTGAGGTGCAATTTGACGCGAACTAACGTTTGGATTTTCAATTACACTTTGAAGAACGTTAAATTAATTTTTCAACGTTCGTTGTTATGAAAAGCAAGGGTGTCAATTTTGTCTCTATTTATTATAAACATTCATAAATGTTTGATGCGATGGTTGACAACGGTTTGGATATCGTTCAGCATACAAAATTTTAGCTTTTATTGAATTTTTTTGGCTTTCTATGTAAATGATAATCATATCGTATTGCTCTTCAAAGGAATACATCACGTATGATCGTCTTGTAACATACTAATATTGCAGTGTTAGGTTAGCTATTCTTAAATCTGCTATACCATTCATAAATCTTCGAATGACTCATACCAGTATCACCGAAAGCAATTTGAAGCGTCTCCACTGTTTCTGATGCTTTTTTCTTAAGATCCAAACAGAACTTTATGCACGTTCTCTGCTCGGGGAAATCATTCATCTTTAAGAATCGCCGGAGCTAAAACGCACCATTTACGCCAACCAACATTACTTGACAATTACGTAACCAATCGCTATGAAACTTGGCACGAATATAGCAAAACAATTGAAGATCATATGCTGCGATTTTCAGTTTTTTACATTACTTCTAACGCACTCTATAACAGAAGTCCCCGAGTTTTTTGAACACACGTTTATTTAACCATACACGAGGTACAGGATAGACCTTGCACATAATGTATTTTTGTGTCCAACGTTCTGAAATGCCGATCGTGTAAAAAATCAGAGTTTTTGTTATGCCCTCTACGATATAAAGCGGTGAATTTGGGAATTACATACAGTCCAACCGTCCAAGATGGTAAAATCGACAGATGTAAAAAATCCTCTTTTATTAAATTTGCATATAACAATACATACATAAATATATTGGATTGCTTGGGTAGAACTGTTCACAATCTTTTGACAGCAATTATGTTACTTTTTTATTTGTAATTTCATAGTTACGTTTAATTCCAATTCCAGCCACTTCTAATGTTGTAATCTTTTTCTACGCTGAATCGGTAACATTGGTAGCGACAGGAAAGTGGTAAGGGTCTTCTCGGCCCCAAAGTCATGAACAAAAAGTCCCATAAGATGTTAGGTTCATCCTGTACGTCGTCTGTGATTTAACATACTTGTACTTATATTAAACCTTTTTTTTATATGAAACATTTGCTGAAGTATAATCTGTTTTAAAGCTGCACCATTGGCTTTATAGACTGGCGGAATGGTAACTGCTATGACCGATGGTGACGTCGAATCGTTTTTAGAAAGTTTTGCACCCCTCATCATTAGTCTAATGTGTCTCTCTAAGTATATCAATTTTTTTTACAATTATAAAAAGGTACGTTTGCCATGCTCGTGGTGTCTATGTTCACATTAACACTTATGTACAATTGCACAGATGAGGTATTTATTGAATATAATGCAAGAGGATTGGAGGATATATAAGAAAGTAAAGAACGAGTTTGACGTTCTTTGTGAACAATATGCAGTAGGAAAGAAGCTTACTACTAGTTTTGCAGGTAAAGTTGTTTTATATTTATCTTACGGAGTCTATAAATTTTTAATAAGTATTTAATGTTAATGTACATACATGTATGCTGCAGTAAAATAAAAACAAATTTAATGTTGTAGAAGTTATCACAAGAGAATTTAGTATCATACACACATATTAAATATATTGATCATTTTTGTTAAAATTTTTAAGAATCAGATCAGCATTCAAGTAATTGTTCCAATTTATAAATAAACTGTACGCAAAAGTTCCTTTTGTGACCATTTCAAATAAGTATTACAACTATACAGGGTGTCCAGTAAAGAGCGTAACAGCCGGAAATGGGGGGTTGCTGGGGTGACTCTGAACAACTTTATCCTTTACCAAAATGTTGGTTGAAGCTTCGTTTTTGAATTATTAACGAAAAACACTGGCCAACCAGAGCGCGCGTAGAGCCCGCGCTCAACCACGGGAGCGTTGACTCTCATCCGCGCGCGATCGTGAACAAACGTATTGGCACAGCGTGGGTATCGAAGGAAGGGTGCGGCAAATGTTACATCGTCTTAAATTAAGAATAATCTGGAACTATTCGTTG